TGTGAACTCAATTTTCGATAAACTTTTTTCAGCTGAAAATAAATAGGACTAATGATTGCGATATTGTGTGTAAACTGAATACACAATTCTTTACACAATATTCTTTTCACAAAGCATTTAATGAAATAAATTTTATTGCAAAAATAAAATAAAATCCAATGCAATCACAATGTATTACATTTACTATACTTGTACTGTATGTTGTACAATGTACACGAGCATTAGTACTTTATTTGACTTTTATTTTAGAATCGATTTGTTAATAAAACCATTTGTGAGATTCAAAAATAAAATAATACAAATATAACCATTTTAATGGATTTGATTAATCATGACTTTTAAACAGTTATTTCATACAACCATTTTGGCAAATGTTATTTATTTCTTTAAATATTTGACGTAAATATACATTATTTTGTAATTAGTAGTAAGCCTATAATAGTTAAATTATTAAATATTTAATAATATATAATTAATTATAAACATTAAGTACTCTATGAATAAATGACTTTCATCTCAATTATCAATAATATATTCAATTATATCCTTAAATCACTTCTATTTTATATAAATAAATATAATTATAATTCAAGAAAACTATAAAATAGAGAGACATTCAGAAGTGACGAGAGATAAAAGTGTAGTCAAAATAACAAAATATTAATATAATTAATTGATTCAAATCATCACTCAATTTAAAGCTCGTCTCATAAGTACTAAAGTGAAGTGAAATCCTTTCTAAACGTCGATTAAGAGGTAAATGAGAAAAAATTGTCAGACATTTCATTTGTAAACCATATCTAAAGTAAATGGTTTGTGATCTTAAGTTTGTGCGCCTTCGGGACACTTCCATTGAAGTCGTTTAATCTTATCCTTTAAGTTGATAAGTATGGACACAATGTATGTTTGCGTTTCGTCTGCTTTCAAACCGCTGCTAATGTCATAAACAATGGAAGAGCTGTTCAAATGTCCCACTTTTTCATGGAAGTGACCGAATATGATGGTGTCTTTGCCCGCCGATGTCGTGATGTCATCGCATTCAGGGTTCAGACTTAATCCAAACTTATCGTTTCGTTGCAGATCTGTAGCACAAATAATATGACCGTATTTAGTATACATTGTATGAATTGATTGCAAATTCATTGAGTACTCACTTCCTTTCAAAACGGAGTCAACTTTAAGTTTTAAAAACTTGAATCCATTTTGAGTGACATTTTGTCCCTCGAAGGTAGCGGTGAAGACATAATTGAATTTATGAGAGCAGACCAGGTCTTCAAACATAGTGCGCGNACATAATTGAATTTATGAGAGCAGACCAGGTCTTCAAACATAGTGCGCGCCCTCACGACTCGCATTTCGGCGATCTTTCCGATTTCGACCAAAGCCTTAGCTGTGGGACAGTTCTCCCGTTTGGCACATTCACACACTTCGGAATTGCACTTCGTTTCGATGTATTCGCTTAAACGCGAGGGAGTAAACAGTTGGGAACAACTGTGATCTGAATCATTCATTGGTTTATTATTAGATTATATTGAAAGGAAAGCCGATAGAGTGTTGGTACAAACCTTTATGGTAGTAGTCATAGACCTTAACCATAGCCGCCTGAGCATTGCCTATACTGTGTTCTTGTATTTTCCTGAACTGCAGACAATAGGGCCGACCGAACGGCACTTTCTCGAAGTAAAAGACAATATTTCGTTCGGATATCTCGTATTTAGAGACTAATGAGTCCTCCATTTTGATAATCTCTTCCAAATCGTCTTTATTTGGTTTATAACCGCTAAGTATTCCGATTTCAATGAGACTCATATCGGAATAATAGCGAGGAATGTGTCGAATGCACGTCTCGATCAACAAAACTAATTTACTTTTGCCGTCAGAACTGCCGATCGAATTAGAGCTCAAATTATTCTTCTTGAAGCTCCTGTTGTCACTTATGTCTGAATTGAGTTCCAGATTATCGTTGCTTTCATTCAATTCTTGATGACTTGAAGTCGAGTCTCTCCTACGAGTCGTATCAATAGAGACGGATTCGGCGACCGAAGGCTTCTTACGTTTACCAAAATTACTCCAAAACGAACGCTTCCTTCTGCTGTTCGTGTGCTTCAGGTCTAGTGTCTGAACCAAATCGTTGTTGAAGTCATTAAAGAAGTTGTCGTCAATCTCTGGAGGATTGTCTCCTCGCGCTTCTACCGGCGCTTTCCATTCCTTCACTTCAATGTTCAGATCAAACCGACAAAGAACTTCTGGCGGTTCAAACACATTGTACTTCAATCTGACAAACATTTGTCCCATTCCTTCGCCAGTTGTCGTGAATTTCAATTTAGACGAATCCGAGTCTAATTTGAATGTTTGCAATACGAGTGCGTTGTCCGCATTGAATGCCAGCGCTCTCTTGAAACGGTTAGCCGTCATGTCGTGTGAAGTGATGTTACATAAGAGCGAAATGGTATTCGTTGGCGATCTCTGGCGTTCAATGTATTGGGACAACGCCTCCAACGCAACGATTGTGTCTTGAGTTGAGGCGAAAGCGCCCGAAAAGGATCGGACAGAGTTGAGCCAATTCGAGATCGATAGGCCGTCCAATGAGTTCTTATTGCCGGAGTTCAACATTGCCATCAATGCATAGGCAGTGGCCTCCACCTCATAGTCGTGTCGCCAATACTTATAGTTTCTATTGTTGTCGATGTTTGCGGTCGTGTGGAGTGCGTCCACCAGTTTCAGAGAGTTTTGTGCGTTAGTGAAGGTCAGGCTATAGGCCACTAATGCCATCGCATAGGTGTTCCTCTTTTTTATGATTTCGTTTTGATTTAATTTGAGATAATTCTCAGATCTATGAATCGTTTTGTTCAGAGAATTCTCTAAAACTTTTGAATCGTTGATACTGTCTTTCAAGACGTTTCTGCACTCGTGAAATGCAATCAAAACATAAGCGGTTAGGGGAACGATACCCTTCACTCCACCCAACGCGTCCTCGTGAACCACTGCATGGGTTTCAGTCCACGACCCGTCGTCTTTCTGTACTTTCAAGAGCCAATTGAGTCCACTCGAGATCACCTTTGGGTCAAACTTGTCGCTCGTGAGGAAAGGGTTGGCCTGACATAAGACTTTCATCACAAATGCTGTCAACCAAACAGATGCGGGACGGGTAGAGAATGCACTGAAAGAGCCGTCGTCTTTGCGGAATGAGAGCTGTCTTTTGTAACCATTTTTAATATATTTAAGTCCTCTATATTTGAGATCTCCGTTCAGTCTTTCAATTGATTTCAAGTACTTAAGCGTATAGAGTGTGGGCGCCATATATAGCATAGTCTGTTCACCGCATCCTTTGGGTTGTCTAATAAGTCTATCGATATCACTGAGAGTGGTATAGGATGTGGCGCCGTATTCATTGCCAATGCCGGCGATAATACACTCTCGAGTGCCGGGAACTATATTGCGGGTCAGGTCGGGCTCAACGTTCACAACAGTCTTCTGAAGAGAATTCTCGGAAATGATTTCGTCCTCTATTTTACCCGTTTTTAGAGATCGTTTACTCCTTCGCTGTCTATTCTTAGGGTCCAATTGAAAAGTCAAATCCTCCTCAACCGTAATACCGGGCGGAACGACATTCAGCGTTTTAATGACAACATCTCCACCACTCGCCCAGAGGGCAACTACTTTCAAGTCAAATGTCCCCGTTTTCAGGGGAACCATAGGGAACGAAACGGTCACAAACGAGTTCTGGTCCACAACTAAATGCTTTTTAGTCTTCTCTCCGACAATCTCGGCTTCAGAACAGATATCTTCGATGCCATACGTGTAGACCAGAACTGGTAATCGATTGCCCCCATAGTTAAAGACTGTGACAATCATCTCCATCTGTTCGTTCTGAACCACAGAATATGGAAGTGATATCTGAATAAATATGTCCTGAAATGTACGCAAACGGAGCGGAGAAGGCATAATACAGAAGCCGTTTGTGGCCGATACTGACATTGCAGTTAAGGCCCAGGTTGTGATCGCATGGGGAAACGTAACGGGAAAGGTGTTTGAACTGAAAATTCACACAAGTATTAAGATTCAAATCTTCTCAAGAAGACAATTCAAATTAAACTAACCTTTGATTGAGAAGCACAACATGAAAAAGCCAGGACTCGCGGAAATCCTTTCTTACAAATGTCTTGTCTTCCAAGTCCTGTTCGTATGCGATGTGAACGTACTCTTCAGTCTCTAAACCAATCCTCTGTCTGTTGTCTTTTGTTGCCGAGAATTGCGCTATATTTTAGAGAAAATTTTTAAAAATATGACAAGAAGTGAATGAATGACAACTCACTGCGAACCGGCTCAGGTCTCGGGGGTTTTGAAACATATTTACAGCAATTGACAAACGCGTTATAGCAGGCCGTGTGGTTTGGCATATATTTCTTCAATATGTTTGCCTTGTGATCGCAGTTCCGGTTGATATTCGAGGGCCAAACGCCTAACATACAGCACTTCTGCAGAAATCCCGAGTAGATATTCACTATACTAGAGATGTCTCGCCTTTTCCTTTTGACAGATTGCCGTCGAATACAGAATTCATCGCTATTTTCATTCGTGTCCATCAATTCTCCGCTAATTATCTTAACGCCGACGTTATTGGCCACAAGAGATACATCCAGACCTGTCCCGGGACCGCAACCCATATCTGATTTTGACAACTCTTTCATTAATTTACTTTTGGTTAGTTTGTCGGCATCTCTGAGAATATAAACGGCTTCATCGACCGCAAGGAGAGCAACGCTGTCTCCTTTGGTTCCGTTCACAACCAAATTCAATGTCTTTCCCGGATTCACTTGTTTGGTGTCGTTCTCTACACTCATATCGAGACCGCAATTGTCTTCATTTACCTCTATTTTCATAGAATCGGACACCAGTTCTGAATTCCTAGTGACCGCCACAACCATAACACGTATAAAAGGAGTCATATCTCGTGTTATCTCTAATTTGATCCCTTTGTCCGATGAAAGCCTTTCTGAATGAATAATGTGTCCGCGATTTACAACTATTAAGTATATCTTATCCGAAACTACAGTGCCTCTCGTGACTAAAGGGCTCCGGTATGTGTCACCTACTGATAGAGATGTGCTATACTTTGATTTACTTGTAATGGAAATAAATCCATGGGTGGACTTATCAGCCCAGAGTACGTGTGCTGCGTCTGCCTGTTCTTTGCGATCAATTTTAGGATCGTCTGTACGGATGAGAACATGGAGTTCCTTAACATTATCATCCAAAGTGATTGGGAACGATATGTATCCCAAATGGTCGGTAACCCTTTGCATTGACGATATATTTGCGGTGTTATGCCGGATGATATTTCCCGAGTCATCAGTTAGCGATATTTTAACGGGTAATTCGGGTACACTTTCGCCGAAAATATTATTAATTTGTGCCTAAAAGTG